TGCGGCTCTGTGGTGAGGGATGTGAGAGGGAATGCGCCCGCCATTTTACTTTTACTTTTTTCCTCTTCGCCACTGATTGGCTCGTTAGCCCCTTGGGCGGTCGGTCACGTCTCTATTATACACTGCTGTCAAGCACTGGGCATGTACTGGCTCCTGAATGTATCTGTACCTACGCCAGTGTTGATCAAGTCTGGTCCCACATTCGGTGCCGTCACAACATTCTCTGGCAGATATTTCCAGAAGTTTACAATTTTCACCCCGAAAAAGTTTGTCCTCGCAGATTTCTGGGCTTGTGGCTTCTTCAACTTTGAGCTGTGACCCCTTGTGGGGCGGGCGTCCGCCAGCTCCAGGTAATATGGACAATCAACTGACACTCTATCACCATATTACAGGCACATAGCAATGTATAATAAAATGCTAACTGCCTAAACACAATCACAACATACTTCCACAATGCTACCGTTATTGTACCATATTACCTAAACACACTACCGCAGCTGTACTACAACATTCTCCTGTAACATTGGACAATACCACAACACTTAAAGCACTACCATAACTACTATAACAGTATCATACCTGAACTACAACATTACCACATCTGCACTAAACCACTACTTTAAACACCAGTTTATAAGCGAAGGTAGCTAAATTTAAGAAGGGTATGCATGCAATACTGTATGCATAATGGGAATACTTGTTTCCCTAAACTAGAGGGAGAAATGGGTTATTATCGAATGGGTTTTAACATATAAGCGTACTTAATATTGGAAGAACAAATACTGACAATGTATACAGCCTTAACAACATCAACCTAGAGAAGTCGACTTGTGAAAGAGACTTAGGGGTACTTGTAAGCCCGGACCTACGGCCTAGAAATCAGTGCGTTAATGATCGAAATAAGGCAAACAGAGTATTAGGTTTTATATCTAGAAGTGTAAGTAATAAGAGTGCAGAGATCTTATTGCAACTATATCTTGCGCTAGTCAGGCCGCACCTCGATTATGCGGTTCAGTTCTGGTGCCCTTATTATAGAATGGATATCAATTCACTAGAGTCGGTGCAGCGAAGAATGACGAAAATGATTCCGGGACTTAGAAACCTTCCATATCAGGATAGGTTAAAGAAACTAAACTTGCATTCCCTAGAAAGACGAAGAGTGCGGGGAGATATGATAGAAGTATTTAAGTGGGTGAAAGGAATCAATAAAGGGGATATAGATAAAGTTCTTACAATATCCGAGCAGGATAGAACTCGAAGCAACGGATTTAAGTTGGATAAGTTTAGGTTTAGGAGGGAGATAGGAAGAAACTGGTTCACAAATAGGGTGGTGGACGAGTGGAACAAGCTTAGCAACTATGTAGTAAGTGCTGGAACGCTGGAAAGTTTCAAAAGGAGACCGGATAGATTCATGGATGATAGAGAGTGGTAGTAACTCTCGACAGGAGCTGCCATGCACAGGCCAACCGGTCTATTGCAGACTCCTTATTTTCTTATGTTCTTATATGTTCTATAAGAGACAAACAGGCGGAGACAAAGAGGAGAGGGAGACAAGCTTAGTTTGTGCGTGTGTGAGTGAGAGAGGAAGGCTCGGCCGGCGGGTGAGGATCAGTGGCGCCTTGCTATCGACCAGCTGTAGCGTCGCCTAGGTCCCGGCTGCCAACAAAATCGCACAATGCAATTTCTAACCCGAAAAAATCGTACCTCAAATTAATTGTAAAAAAATCTAGTAGTCCAGGTTTCTTGTAGACTTAACACCTCGTGAGGTTAGGTGCGATTGTCCTCCAATGTCTGTACTATCTAGTGAGAGGCATGGGGTGTTTGAATAGTTTTTTGGAGTATTATATTCATATTCGTAATCTTAAAGGAAGGAAAATATGATAAAGTATTCGAATTGTAGTAATAGCATTCAATTAATACTCTCATGAATGAATATCTATAATAAGAACAATGAAAATTTTCGTTGTGATTAGGTTCCCATAATACTTTTCTTTTATCCTCTTCGCCACTAATCGGCTCGCCTACCTCTACTGTATACATGACAAGCATGGGGCAATTAATTAACTTAGCTTAATAAGTTGACTTTTTAAATAACAGGTTAACTAAACTTATTCGAAATTCTGACAAATCAATTGATTAACTTCGATTAATTGTCAATTAACTCCTTAGAAAAAATAACAAATAATATATAACACACCAACCCTTGCGCCCAGTGAGTATCCAATATATTTACCATTATAAAGTGTAATAAGTATGTGATGAAAAAGTTTGAGTTTAAACTTTCAGTGATTATCATTTATTTGATATGCAGAATTCTTATCTTATCGTGATATCATTTTTCAAGTAAGAAAGTCTAACTTGGTTTTACATACTGAAATGATAAAATTATTTACATGTGAAAAATTGTTAAGTAAAAAATATAAAAGTCAAGAATTTATAATTATTTTATCTCAAGACTTATTCATACCAAGGAAGTAGTATGCCAGACTGCCTGACTCAGTTTGGCTATTCAGGTATTGAAACTACAGCATTCATTGACTCTTCTGGAAAACATTTACAGGATATTAAGTTATTTAACTGGAAAAAATTTAAATTAACTTAACTAGTTAAATTTGAAACTTAATCGCTCCATGCCTGATACATGATAGGGATTTCTCTTAATAAGCCGGTAGTCGGTTACGCGTTTTACCTTCTAGTATACCCAAGGGCAGATCCAGAGGGGGTCCTGGTGGTCCGGAACCCCTATTCATCAGAAAATTCCAATACTTTTTTTAATGCAGTATTGTATTCAGGCATTTTTGTATTGTAAAAAAGTAATTATTATTGGCCTCAGAATATATCCTAATATCATGTGCACATGGCTTCAAAATGGCCTCAAAATGCCCATGATATTGGTCAGATTTAAAAAAATTCTGGGGGGCTTAGAGCCCCCCCCCCACCCCCCCAAGCCCCTAGCTGGGTGGGTTCGCTTTGCTCGCCATGTTCCCCCACCCAAAACTTCTTGGATCCCCCTTTTGATATTCCTGGATCCGCCCCTTACCCAGGACAGCCAGAAGTCTGAATAAAATCCAAATCTAAGTCCCTAAGCTAGTGTACCTTTAAGAGCTCTTCACCACTTTCATTGGTGGTGGGAATTTGATGAGTTACAACTTACAGTGCATGTGATAATTATAAGTCTTAGTGTGGTGGTCTCTGGAAATTCATCCGAGCCACGTGGCTTGTGATGCTTCTACGTCTGGCAGCACAGCGAGTTCCATGACGAGGCGACAGCCCCTCCCAGTCTCCCACCCCTATTGTCGTGGATTTACCGCGTCAGATACGAGGGGGCGACTGCAGTATCGATCGGCTACGCAGGAAACTCGAGGTATATGTTCAAGATCACGATAAGAATACTGAAAGCTTCTTAGATTAATTGTTAATTTTGGACAAGAGAATGCATCTGTGTACGAATCTGCGCAATTACTACCAATTTGTTTTGCACCTTTGTGAGATAATTTCGTTCCTACACCACATGGAGAAATTATAACGTGAGACACTCACAAGCCAGTCAGCCAGGCCACTTCAAAAAACCGCGAAAAAAGCTTTATCACTCGCGGAATCTGCCATTTTGACTTAATGACATCTCTATATGCATAGCTTAGTGAAAGTGTACTCCCAGTGCTTGTAATTCACTATAAATCTTTAATCGACCTAAAATGTAAAAGGTTATACGTGTAGTATTGTGGTGCTTGTGATAGCAAGCTACCATGTGTTGCCTGGGGTCTCCCTCACGATGGCAACGCCTACTCTGGTCTTGAAGTCTCGTGTCACTAAATGAGCTCTGCGTCACCAGATGCAGACGTTGATTCCAAACTAGTGACATGTAGGCGTAGTTTCCTGATTAGTGACATATACGTCATGTTTCCTGACCAGAGACATGCACGTCTTGTTTCCTGACGAGCGACTTGTGATTTCAGGTCTAGTCACGACTACTGTAGTGACATAATCGCCCATGTGACTTCCTTGGTGTTGGTTTATGTATGACCAGGTATGTGTTGTTTTATAATTAGAGACATGTAAATGTTTTATGAAAGGTGACATGATTGTTTTAGTATCCATTGACATGAGTTTTTTCATGACTAGTAATTTTTATTTGAATGTTTAGTGCCACAATCGTGTTCCTCCATACTTTAACTTTTTTAATCTGTATTCACTTTACCACTGATCGGCGGCTCGTTATTCATGTGGGCGGTCGGTCACGTCTGTTAAGCACTGTTGGCAAGTACTGTACTGTACTGGGCATGTACAGGCTCCTGGTGTCATGTGACCTGATTATATACAACTGATGTTCCACGACCAGAAACATGCAGGTGTTGTGTGACCAGAAACATCGAGGTGTTGTTTCATGACTGGAAACATGCAGGTGTTGTGTGACCAGAAACATCGAGGTGTTGTTCCATGACTATGAACATGCAGGTGTTGTTCCATGACTAAACATACAGTTGTTGTTCCATGACTAGAAACATGCAGGTGTTGTTCCATGACTGGAAACATGCAGGTGTTGTGTGACCAGAAACATCGAGGTGTTGTTCCATGACTGAACATGCAGGTGTTGTTCCATGACTAAACATACAGTTGTTGTTCCATGACTAGAAACATGCAGGTGTTGTTCCATGACTAGAAACATGCAGGTGTTGTTCCATGACTATAAACATGCAGGTGTTCCATGACTAGAAACATGCAGGTGTTGTTCCATGACTATAAACATGCAGGTGTGTGACCAGAAACATGCAGGTGTTGTTCCATGACTAAAACATGCAGTTGTTGTTCCCATGACTAGAAACATGCAGGTGTTGTGTGACCAGAAACATGCAGGTGTTGTTCCATGACTATGAACATGCAGTTGTTGTTCCATGACTAGGAACATGCAGTGTTGTGTGACCAGAAACATGCAGGTGTTGTTCCACTGACATAGAAACATGCAGGTGTTGTTCCATGACTAGAAACATGCACTAGAAACATGCAGGTGTTGTTCCATGACTAGAAACATGCAGGTGTTGTGTGACCAGAAACATGCAGGTGTTGTTCCATGACTAGAAACATGCAGGTGTTGTTCCATGACTAGAAACATGCAGGTGTTGTTCCATGACTAGAAACATGTAGGTGTTGTTCCATGACTAGAAACATGCAGGTGTTGTTCCATGACCAGAAACATGCAGGTGTTGTTCCATGACTAGAAACATGTAGGTGTTGTTCCATGACTAGAAACATGTAGGTGTTGTTCCATGACTAGAAACATGCAGGTGTTGTTCCATGACTAGAAACATGCAGGTGTTGTGTGACCAGAAACATGCAGGTGTTGTGTGACCAGAAACATGCAGGTGTTGTGTGACCAGAAACATGCAGGTGTTGTTCCATGACTAGAAACATGCAGATGTTGTTCCATGACTAGAAACATGCAGGTGTTGTTCCATGACTAGAAACATGTAGGTGTTGTTCCATGACTAGAAACATGCAGGTGTTGTTCCATGACCAGAAACATGCAGGTGTTGTTCCATGACTAGAAACATGTAGGTGTTGTTCCATGACTAGAAACATGTAGGTGTTGTTCCATGACTAGAAACATGCAGGTGTTGTTCCATGACTAGAAACATGCAGGTGTTGTGACCAGAAACATGTTGTGACTAGAAACATGCAGGTGTTTTATAGTGATAGCCCAGGAAGACAGTAATATTGTTCAAGGTAACCTTGTTGAAGTTTCATCGGCTTGAGTCAAAATTTTGACAACTATAGCTTGGCCAAACAAGGACAGGATGGTGTGCCTTGACAATGAACCGTAAAAGCCCTGCAATGCCACCCTGTAATTACGGTTATTTTTTTGTAATTAACCCATCACCTTATATCACTTGAAAAAATATATATTTTTGCTAGTTTTCTTGCTGTTTTAGAAGATTCTGACATTTATCTGACACTTTTCTTTTTTTTTTTTTTTTAGTTAGGTTAGGTTGGTTGGTTCCTTTGGTATGAGAATAGGTTAGGTTAGGTTGGTTGGTTTCTATGGGATGAGAATAGGTTATTTTTGGTGTGTTTTACTCAAATCTGACCTCCATTTTTGTGCAAATTAGCTGTTTCTCTTAAAATGAAATTTTTTATTTTTTGGCAAAAAAAATAATTTGCACAACAAATTAAGGACAGATTTGAGTAATACACCAAAAATAACCTTTTTTCATACCAAAGGAACAAACCAACCAACCTAACTTGACCTATTCTCATACCAAAGGAACCAACTAACCAATCTAACCTAACAAAAAAAAAGTGATTTGTCCCCCAAAATATACTGCATATAGGGGGTTAGGTTCTGGAGAAAAAGTTCTCTTTCATCAAACCATCTTAAAACTTCCAATTTATGTCCCTGTTGCAATTTTCAACTTCTTATTTGACATTTTTATTTTTTGGATAAGCTATTTGTATGGATTGTAATGCTTGAACTTTTTGTGCAGAGGATTTGGGACTACAGTACTGTACTACTGTAATGTTAAATTATGTTGCAGGAGGACCATGAAGACTGTAGGGAGTGTCATCCTTCTCCTAGGACTTCTCCAAGGAGGTGAGCAATACACACATATAATGTGTGTTCTTTGCATACTAATATTGTACATCATACATGCAAGTACAGTGTAGCCAGTACAGTCTTGTTAAAAGACAGGTATTTTTCAAGTTTATATGAAGTAACTTTCTGGCTGGGTATATGATGGTATTTTTCACGTCCTCTCTCTTCCCCTAATATATTCATTCCTAACCACACACGTGGTGCTTCACCTCCCTTATTTATCTTATCCCTTTGGGAGGCAATTTAGCTGATTAAAATCATCTGGTGTTAGCCAGAATAAAATACTGTAAATGCAACACTGCTCTTTAACACGTTACCCGCATTATGGCAACGGAGCCCTCCCACACATTTCCGAGTCATCTAAATTAAAAAATTTGAGTAGAGTTTTTTGGGCTAAGGATGGTCATGGTGCAGTAGTAGTAGTGTCTCACCAGTGGCCCAACACATCACATAATAATAAATACGACTGTGTACTGAACAACCTTATTTAGCATACTCTTCCACCCATGTATTGAATGCAGGATAGCCAATGGTGTACCAATACACAATAATGAAGTACCACATTTGGTACACCAGTGAACTAACATGGGGTAACATGTTAAAGGGTTAATTGAGATAGGATTAACCCTTTAAAGGGCAGGGGTTTATCTTGGCTGAATAAAATTGTCTGACATTAGCCAGAATAAAATACTTAAATGCTACACTACGCTGTTCTTGAAGGGGTTATTTACCAGACATTGGGTTGATTGTATCATTTGATTATGATTTTAATTACAGGCATGATAACATTTTCAATTGATTATGACTGAGCCTTGAAAAATCTTGATCGTGATTTGATAATGTTTACAGGGCTTTAAAAATAATGATTAGGATTGTTTATTGCTAATATGTTTGATTATGACTATGGCTGACTAAAATTATGGAGTTTTGAGTACCGTATATACTCGTCTATAACCCCCCCTCGTTTATAGGTCGACCCTGATTTTTTGACCAAGAAATCGTTAATTTACGATATTCCTCGTTTATAGTTCGACCAACGTTTTTGAGGGTAATGGAACAACAAAACCTTCAGTAAAAACGCTCTACGTCCTATAAACTGAGGCTCGCCGTGCATGAAACACGAGTGCCGAAGGCAAATTGTTTACCATTTATTATTACGACACTTTACACTGAAACGCGGGTAGTTTCAACAAAAATATTGTATATCTCCATTCAAGTATTTATTCAAGTCAATTAGGATAGAATATTATCGTAATACAACAGTTTTTTAACGGAAAACCATTCGAAAAGCGATTACGGTAACATCTTTTGAACGAAAGAAAGCGAAAGTCATTGTTTTCATCACAATTTTATCCCACTTTCCACTGTAATACGTACGTCATTTCAGCAAAAATATTACATTTCCGTGAATGCATTATATCAAGCACAGTATGAATAGAATACCCTTGTAATATAACAATATTTTAACCAAAAACTATTAAAAAAACGAGTCACTTCTCTTGAACATCGGAAGGTTAGGTAAAATCTTTTGTTTTCGTCATGTATTTTATCCTATTTTACATTAAAATATATCACGTTTCAGCAAAACTACTATTTATTTCCGAGAACATATTCATTCAGGCACAGTTAAGGTAAAATATACATGTGATGTAACAGTTTTTTAACTGAAAATTATTCGAAAAACACGTGTACCGTCTAGGTGATACAGCTGGTGGTGCGTCATGCGTCGTTGTAAACAATAGGAGGTTGAAGTAGATTACCGGCTATTATATTAAGTGTGAAATATCGAAAAGGTTTTTATTACCGGTATTTTTTGTAGATCAATGAGAACTGTGATACCGTATATGATATGATAAGTTAGCCTGTGCTAAGAACTTCAACATAGACTACTGAAAGCACGTTGTAAGGTAATTTTAGCCTATTGTAAGTTGGTGAGCTTCATTTACTGAAGGAACTGCACAACTTTTCATTACTTATTGGTACATATTTTACGTTTCCATTGTTTACTGGCAGTAAATGGTAAATATTTTTCATGTCTGAAGCTAAAAGTTGCTCCTCGCCCTTCCCATCATGCACGGGTTCAACCTAACAAAACTATTATGCATGTATAGGACGACCCCCAATTTTTTGCCTAAAAATTTGGTCTTAAAAACTCAAACTATACACGAGTATATACGGTAATACGACTGTGTTATTGGTTTACTGTACAGTGCAGTACTGTATTATGTTTGTGGAGTGTGGTGGTTGGGTGGATACAGCACTTGCCTCCTGTCCTAGTTCACTCAGCTGTAAATGGATACATAAGTTTACAGCTTGAGGAAGTGAATGCGGTGGAGTGCAGTACCGGCCATGCTGCCTCATTGTGTACTGAAAGCTTAGTATATAGTGTGCTGTATCCACACTGTCCCTAACAACAGTCATGCTTATGGAACCCAATTTTGATTATGTTTGTCAAAAACTCGTATTGTACAGTAGATATATATACTTTACAGTACTCTTTATTTTTGTATGAATTATAATACAATTTATACAGTGAATCAGGAATTGGCAAATTTACAGAGTTAGTTCATATGCATGTTTCATTTGAGAAACATGAGCTCCTCAAAATGGGCATTTGATAGTTTGCAGTGTTCTGGATAACTTTTCCAGTGATGGACAAAAGTCTCTAATGAAGCTAAAGGTGCTGGTTTGGGCTGGTAGCAGAGTGATAGTATAGTGAGCTCCAGGAAGATTGTCTGGTTCTGTTGCCAGTACAGAAGGGCATCAGTTTCATTTCCAGATGTTTGTTAGCTTTAGCAGTGGTGATGAATTCAGAGCCAGTTTCCTCTAGTCTAGACCATACTGTATTTCACAGCATTTTGTAAGTTGTGAAGAAAATATTGAACTTACTTAGGCATGAGCCTCAGGACTTGGTCAGTGTCTGCTGGAATGTTAACTTTGTATTCTTTATCGTCACTGTCATCTGCATTATCAGCATCCTCATTTAATCCAGGAATAGTCACGAATGCTTTCAACATGTACCTGGCACTGTCCGTTACAGTAGTGAAGACATTGTTTTCGAGGTTGAAGCTTACAATAATCTCACTGTAGGTAGCATGAATCTTCTCTGTGGTGTGAGAACCTTTAAACCTGCAGGCAAACTGGAGTTTGAAAAACTTGGTGAAGTGGCATGTAATTCCAGTGGATGAATGCATATCTTTGCTGGTCCAAAGATCTGCTGTTGTGAAATGCATGAATGGCAGAACTAAAGTGTTTGGTGAGATGTGGGTGACAAATAAAGGTTTGGGCAGGCAGAAGTTTGCTGCTCAGGTACTTGCAGGTTGAAATGCTGTAAGAGGGCTGAGCCTTGTCCATCAAGGCCTAGGATTCAGTATCCTCAACCCTAGAGAGGCTGAAGGGAGCTGGCAATGTAGTTAACTATCAGCTGAGTTGTATCTTTCTGATGGGAGTCACTGTCACTCCACTTTTTTCTTACTATTGACAACACTGAGGTTAGTGAGAGAAGATTGCTGGCCAGGAGATGGAACCTATAATGGTGACTATGGCAATCTCTGGATGATGCTTGGTCCAGGATTGGAAGCCATCTTTGCTACTACAGTATAGGCTTGGCTGCCTGGGGTTATGAAAATATACCAGTATTGTAGTGTACATGATCACTTTCAACAAACTAAAAAAAATTAAGGCTTACCTTCATATACGTATGAAAGTTTGAAGTGTGGCTGAAATTACCACAGTACATATTTGCACTTCCGTTTTGCTTGAGCACTGGTATCAGCAGTAGAAAATTCGTTGAAGTGGTCAAGAATGGGAGGGCCCTTAGTGACCAAGATCACTGTCGGTTTATCAAGGAGTGAATGAGTGGAGTGGAGCCATGCATACATTACAGAAACATACAGTTGCCTCCATTTATAACCTTTACAGTGGCTGGTGTGTTTTGAGAGATGTAGCACCACTGTTTGTAAATGTCGTAGTAACTCTAGCAGAATGGGCAGAACTACCCTCACTTTTGTAACTAGACCAAGGTTATAGTTTTAATATAGACTACCAAGTAGAACATCTTTGGCTCTTATCTGTTGTCTGGTGGGCGATGGTGCCACACCTCACAATACTCGGCAGCCACTGTATCCATTATAAATGGGGGCAACTGTACATCTGTTGCTATAATGTACATTTAAAAAACCATGATTTGGATACTGATTATACAGGTTGACAACCCTTTATCCGAAAGGCATTTAGCGGGGCAATATTCCCCAGGGATTAGCCCACCCGGGCATAGATCACTGACCCACATCAGGGCCTGGGGGGCGAAAATGTAATAGTAATAATAATTATAATAATAATAATTATTCATAGTAAATAAAAATTTGAATAAAAATAAACCAAAATAAAGTATGATAACATTAATAATAATAATAAAATAAAATTAATAAAAATAACAATAATACAGGAGTACTGTAATAATAAAATAATAATAATAATAATAATACAGTAAAGAAATACAAGAATGAAAAAAGATCAAAAGTGAGAAACACGACCTAGACATATGAATTATTATTATTATTATTATTATTACAGTGGTCCCTCGGTTAACGAGCACAATCCGTTCTAGAAGGTTGCTCGTTAACCGAAAAACTCGTAAACCGAAACCATTGTTTAAATGGGTTTTTGGGTAATTGGTTCCAGCTCACCGAAAATTGCCTAAATTCAACATAAAAGGTAGAAAAGTGTATGTAGAAGGCTCCTGGATGATGATGATGAATGATGGGAACTAGAATGGGGGTGGAGGAGAAGGAAGAAGAGAAGGCATAGGGGTGGAAGCGAAGTCGCCCCATGGCGCCATTTCACCCATAAAATTTTAGTTCTCTTGGTGTAATTCAAGATTATTTTCTTTAAATCAACACTGCACTGCTTTATATATTGTCAATATGTAATATAAACTTCAAAATGACCAATAATTTGCTTGCAAACACAGAAAAAAAGCATTTAGTTTAAGAGAGTCTCAAGCAAGATGTTACCTCCCCTGAAAAGACACAGAAACTGACGCCTGTGTGGTGTGTTGACAGGCTGGATGGCGCGCATAAAACTAGTTTCATTACCTTCAATTATGTTCAATAATTGTTAAAATGACTAAAAAAAATTAATATTAAACTTTTAAAATTATTGAATGGTATAAACTTATTGATATTTACTAAAATGGTTAGGAATATGAGCCCTAGAACCGATTACTGTATTGGCAGACTAATACTACAGCTGGTGGGCCGCCAAATGCAAGCGAAAACTTGTTGAGGTCGGCTTGTAAGAAACTCGTTAATCGAGGGATTGCTCGTTAACCGAAGTTAAGAATCTTATGGAAGGTAACTCGTTAACCGAAATCTCGTTAACCGAGGGACCACTGTATTATTATTATTATTATTATTATTATTATTATTATTATTATTATTATTATAATTTTTATTATATTTTCGCCCCCCAGGCCCTGATGTGAGTCAGAGATCTATGCCTGGGTGGGCTAATACACATTAAAAAAAAAAAATTAATAAAATAACACTAACCATTCTGAAAACCGAAAAATTCCGAAATCCGAAATGCCTTTGGCCCCAAGGATTTCGGATAAGGGATTGTCAACCTGTATTACAAAAAATTATTTGATTCATTATATCATAATCACATCAACTGATCATTTGATTGTGATTATAATCAACCCCCATGTATGTTATTTATTTACCTAATGCTTACCCAAACTAGAGGTGGCTATGCCAAGTGGAAGGTCACTGGCCTGTGTAGGTTCCCTTTTCTCCAGAAACTTTATTTTTTATTTATTTTTTTATAATTGCTCACTTGTATTCTCATGAAATGGTCTTGCTCTGTACTGTTTTCTTCATTATTACATGATTGTCTTATTATATTAATATTATTTTTTGCAGCTGTCGCATTTTTGTGCTATGACACTGACTCTTGGGTGACCTTCTGCCCATCAGGGTCCTGCTTCTCTGTTGGTGGCAACATCTGTGAGTTATTGCTTCTTTTAGTTCAACTACAGTATATTTCATGTGTCAAAGGATTGTGTTGTTGGGCAGTATACAACAACTACAGTATATTTCATGTGTCAAAGGATTGTGTTGTTGGGCAGTATACAACAACTACAGTATATTTCATGTGCCAAAGGATTGTGTTGTTGGGCAGTATACAACAACTACAGTATATTTCATGTGTCAAAGGATTGTATTGTTGGGCAGTATACAACAACTACAGTGTTAGGGTGTGTCATAGGAGGGAAGATCAAATAAAACTAATGGCCCACCACATAAATGGATTGCAGAGTATATATAAACAGAAAAGTAATTTCAGTTTCAATATTTTTTGGCAACCTTTGCTAAGTGCGATTTTAGCATTAAATTTATCGAAAATCTAACGTGCAAGCTGCATTAGTGCATTACAATTAAATAGTAGACATTGCTTTCTGACTTCATTCTTGTAGCCCATCATAATATTTTTTATTTCAGATTCTGATGCATTTATAAGTTGATAATATTTACGATGGCGGCATGTCGGGCGGGAACCAAAAATCAGCCATCTCGAGTCGCACTATGAGTCTGGGAAAACTGCGGAAATCGGAGTTGCCTACATTTAGAGATGCTTTGAGATCACGGTGTTTAATCAGGCAAATCAGTGAAAAAGAACCAAAAGAACTTACTGAAAAGCAAAGACATTGCCGGTGCTTGCCAGCCAGCTGTCTTAGCACGAAGTACCTCTGGCTGCGCGACTCAGTTCAAGCCTCAGTCATAACAAGTCAGAAAGAAAGATTAGTGAGAGAGACTGCTAACACAGTTGGGAAAAGGCAAGAATATCTCTCTTGGAGAAGGCTTTTACGAATTCTGGAGACAGCTTTACTAACAACTGGACCCAGATTATTTGGCATTACTTACCGTGCCAATTGTTCTCTGTCCTGAGTTTGGATGCGATGCGTGACTTTTAAATCAAGGCCCATCTCCTGTATTTGCAACGTGAACTGAAGATTACGTGTGATCGAACTGGCATTGTCAAAGCACAGAGAGAAGACACTTGATATAAAGGGGCTCTCATGATTTTAGCCAGATATTCCAGTCCAAAGACAGGAAACTTACAGAACAATTGCCGAAGGAAGAGACTTGAGAAAGGCAGGGGTGAGGTAAAAGGCCGATGATTGGAGTCCGTGGTTGATTTAATAGCTTCCCATGGCTAATCAAAGTGCTGACCAGGAGAATAGTGACTTTGTCCCTACCCAGAAAATAATGATCCCAAACCTTGGGCATAAGATTGGAAATAGGAAAAGATATCGACATGGCTGGCCAGCATCTTGACTTTTGCAGATCTCAAGAAACTGCAGAAATGCTTGCTTGTACTTCTGGATTGATGAGTGGTTTGATAACACACAGTGATGTGCCTGATGATGATCATAACAAAGTAAGAGCTCAGAGAAACTTGTCAGTAACCTAGAAAAGAGGAGTTTTGATAAGGATAAGAGAAAATGGAATCAATTGTTTTGTTCTTTGTTTGGGAAGGATGACTAAAGTGTTCATGAGAGGTTGGAGATTCTGACAAGTTGTTTCCCTCTTATGAGGTGGAAGGAGAACCTGCTCTGCTGCAGTGAACGGGAGGGAAGTATTTGTGGTACCTCCAGAAAAGATGACATCAGGGAAACCAGCTGAGATAGTGGCAGATAACATTTGTGAACTGGCTCAGAGGAGAGGCATCAGGCAGACCCTGCAGGCCATTGGAGGGAGACAGCACCAACAGACACAAGAGTGGCAAGAGTCATGCAGTGGATAGAGCAGAGAGATTGGGAGAGGGCTGGTCTGGTTGTTTGTGACCTCACAACAGAGTTTCACTCAGACATCTGATCCGAGGGCTGGATGGCAAGACTCTTTCAAACAACGAAGATGGTCTGGTCACTCTTGGCAAGATGCTGGACTTTCTTACTGAGTTAGAAATAAATCCGAGCTTTGAAAAAATCACAGTTGGCCCTCACTGGGTGAGCTTGCACATACTGTCGTTGACGACTAGTGCTGACCAATTACTATGGTTACATGATTTGCGATTTTCCATCAAAACTGAGGTCATGCCTGATGAACTTGCTTACCTGCAGGAATGGGTCCAGTCTCACATTCTAGGTAAAGCTCTGGCATCTCAGGTTCCTGCAAATTTGGGTCGCTCATCGCATAAACTGAAAGGAACCAAACTTCCACAACCTGAGACTTATTGTCCAATTCATACGTGAGTGTCTACTTGCCAAATTGGTTTCAACACAAGGTCAAGTCATCGTTCTCCGAGGTCAAGGCATATTCTCTTGGCAGGCTCCTGAAAGTCAGCCAAGGAAATTGTTCAGATTGGAGCAGACTGTGAGAGATCTTACAGTATGCTCATCGAGCGATTCTGCACAGACAATATGCTCTGCAATGAGAGATGAGAGGAGAGAAATGCTTGATCAAAAAGATCTTGGATATGAGACTTATGAGGAGGATCTGAAGGCATCACCAGAATCAGTTAGTGGCAATTCCTTCAGGGTCCAGGAAGACTCCTGAAGTCAATCTGGATGCCAAGACCTCACTGATCTCATAGATCCTGGATAACATCAGGCTGACAGTGAGCCCCTCTTACCTGCAGCCTCACAATATTCAAGTCAGAGCTTTCTGGACAACCCCATGCATGTCTACTTACAGCCTTAGCACACCCAAGTATAGAAGTTGTGTACAGCAAGTGGCGAAGGCCAGCAATCACGTGTGCAGCCAGGAGGAAGGCTACATCAAAGAGCTCAGGTGGTCAGCAAGGAGGTGATAAAGTAGAAGCAAACAAAGACATATTCTCTATAATTGTGCAGCAACACAGGGAGTGCAATAGTAAATAAAGGCAGGTTTTGTATTTGATGATTTTGTTTCTAAAGGAATATTAAATTTAATAAATGTGTCAGAATCATTCGTTTCACTATTCTGGATGATTTTTCATCCTAATAAAATTAACCTGATACATTTACTTTACTTTAAATAAACTCTTTGGTGGTGTTAGTGAGAATTGGGAATACTGAATTTTCACCCAAGATTTCCAAGTTAAAATTTACCTAGCAAAAATGGCTTTTCAAATCTATGAAGATATCACATGATTCTGCACATAGAACTACATCGTATTACCATGGGCGATTTTCAAACTCAAAAAAAAAAATTCGCCTCCGTGTGGCCTGCTTCATGTGTCAAAGGATTGTATTGTTGAGCAGTATACAACAACTACAGTATATTTCATGTGTCAAGGATTGTATTGTTGGGCAGTATACAACAACTACAGTATATTTCATGTGTCAAAGGATTGTATTGTTGGGCAGTATACAACAACTACAGTATATTTCATGTATATTTCATGTGTCAAAGGATTGTATTGTTGGGCAGTATACAACAACTACAGTATATTTCATGTGTCAAAGGATTGTATTGTTGGGCAGTATACAACAACTACAGTATATTTCATGTGTCATAGGATTGTATTGTTGGGCAGTATACAACAACTACAGTATATTTCATGTGTCATAGGATTGTATTGTTGGGCAGTATACAACAACTACAGTATATTTCATGTGTCAAAGGATTGTATTGTTGGGCAGTATACAACAACTACAGTATATTTCATGTGTCAAAGGATTGTATTGTTGGGCAGTATACAACAAATCTGTTTGGTTTACTTGTTTTAGCCATATATCATAGGCTGGGGTCATCCAGAGTTTGTCCAATTAAAATCCACTGCTATAGGTCTTGATAAAAGATTTGGGACAAAAAATAACACAAATACTTGAGAAGGAAAGTAAGTGTGTACAGTCGACCCTCGTTAATTCGGACCCCTTTAATGCGGATTTCGGATAATTCGGACGAAATCTGAACTAAGCGAGGGACTGTCCGTATCAAATTTCTGGTTCTGGGATTGTCCGACAGATGGCGCGCACGCCAGACCGCCAGTCATTGTTGACTTAGCGCCATATTTGAGTATCAGTGTTGTGTTGCCCCACAATTTTCGTTGATATTTCAGTGATTAGGCATCTTTCAGCCTTGTATTTTACATCATGTCTTCAAGGGGGAGTAATACGCTGAAAAGGAAGCATGTGACCATTTCTGTGAACCAAAAACTGGAACTTATAAGGAAGTTAGAGGCTGGTGCTTTGGTGGCTAGAGTTTGTGACGAGTATGGTGTTAAAAAGCAAACAGTTTCGGACATATGCAAGGCTAAGGACAAACTCATTGCATTTTCTTTGAAATTAATGCAATATTATGCAATATTGACCCCTAAATCGGACAATCGGCTTAAACGGACACCCTTCTCCCCCCTATTAGTCCGTTTTAACGAGGGTCGACTGTACTGAAATCATGTTGCCAAAGAGTGTCAAGGCCATGCAGCATCAGGGTGAACTGGCCTCCTTTATTTATATATACAGTGTAAACCCGCTTTACGCGGTCAATTGAACCCACGGAGGCCCACATAAAGCGGGAAACGCGTAAAGTGAACAACAGAACACATGGGATTAATTGAAATAGAGACTGGGCCGACCCCCAAACTCCACTTTTTCCCGATGCAATACGTACATTTTAGTAAAAATAACATCTTAACTTTATGATGGTATGCACACACACACACACACACACACACATAATATAGAAGAGAAATATCAATAAAAAAATAATATACTGTACCAGGTAAAAGAAAAATCAAGGTTTAACACATGACATGGTAGGTTAGGTTAGAAAAATTCAAGGTTTAACACTTACGTAAGGTTAGGTTATGTTTTAAAAAATCAAGGTTTATTACTAACCTAAGGTTAGGTTATGTTAGGAAAAATCAAGGTTAGGTTTAACAATTACGTTAGTAGAAGAGATGGGTCGGCAGAGGGCAGGCTACTGGCCCTCAGGTAAATCACCATCACTATCATCCACACTTATCAGGGCCTCCCTGACAAATCCCTCAGTCACCATCTCTGTCTCTGTCACTATCACTG